CAATTAAATTATTATTAATAGAAAATTAAGCCGAAAAGGATGAGGTGAATCAAGTGGATGCAAACAAATGAAGGATGAAATTGATTAGCGTTTGGTACACGCATTATCAGAAGAGGAGAGATTGTCTCGTTCAATTCAGAATCAAAATAGCTCATTTGCTTCGTACAACAGGCTATTTGTGTGTTATAGTAGTAAGATATAATCATCGAAGGGCTTTCTCTGCGCTAGATTGTGTTTGCTTAATTGAGGTCCTAAAATCTAGGTGAATCGAGTTTCAAATTTATCAGGGAGAGAAAGTTTACTATTACCGTGGGGAATTTTCGAAGGAGCTTATATGACATTTTCAAATTAATTGAAAAATCTACTCTTTCAGAAAACAAATAGAGACACAAAATACTAAATTGTAATAATCTACAATAAATTCTCCAATTAATCTTATAAAGAAAAATTCTTTAATCTTTTGAATAATTAGAAAAAAATCCAGATAAATAATCTAAAGATACTTTTATTATAGCGAATTCTATCTGAAGAATTTCTTTTTTTTTTTTACTCTAAACCCTCTCCACATTTCACTTTTTTTCTATTGAGCTAGATAAGTTATCACTTAGCAGAAGATCAGTTGCCTTGCTCGACTTTATCGCTAGTTCCAATTCATCGTTTCCCCTGAACTAAAAATCCTCTCTCTCTCTCTCTTTTTTTTTTATATAATTTTTATTTTCTCTCTTTATCTAAATATATTTTTTTAATACAGAAATATATTCAACACTCAATAAAATTTTTGTAATTAATTTCATTTATTCACTTTTTACTACGAATTAAATTTTACTAAAAAAAATTGTTTACTACATGGAAAAAAAATTTACTTAAAACAGAGAAAGGTTTCACTAGAATAGCAAAATAAAAACAAAATAAAACTTTTGCGACTATAGCGAAACGTTTCGCTGTTCCAGGTAAATTTTTTTCCATATAATTAATATTATTACTATAATTTTTAAAAATATTTTTATAAAGAAAAATTGCCTTATTCAAAATCAAGAAATGGAGAAAAATGTTCTAGTTTCTTATCCTACTTTTTTCTCTAATCTTTTGTAGTAATCCGGCTTTTATCCAAGATATCGTGCATTCACATATATATATATATAGAATCCTAAGTGCAGAATATCTTCCAACTTAAATAAAAAGAGAAATCAAGAAAGTGATTTCGTCTTTTTTTCTTAAAAAATTTTAACATAGGCGAAAAACAATCTAATTTTCTATTAATTATATTTTACTAATTCTAAACTAAGATTATAATTAACTAATTATAGCCACTAAATTTTTTTTTATAATTACCAATAAAAATAATTAATAAACTCCCCTCGAATTCTAAAAAAAAACTCAAGAAAAACAAACTAATTTTTATATTAAATTAATTAAGTATTCATTTTACTAATTCTAAACTGTATATACTAATTAACTAATTATAACTACAACTTGTATTACTAACAAAATTGCAAACCCGTCCAACTAAATATTAACTTGTACTACTGACAATATTGTACTACTACTTGTACTACTGCTGAGTAATACTACTGAGAAAATTTCAAAATTTAGAATGTCTGGCTATATATTTATTAAAACCACTACTGCATGACTCAAGGTCAAGGTCAAGTCAAGGTCGTTCAAGGTCATTTGAAGGTCAAGTCAAGGTCATTCAAGGTCATTTGAAGGTCAAGTCAAGGTCATTCAAGGTCGTTTGAAGGTCAAATCAAGAATGTCTGACTAAATATTTACTTGTATTACTAACAAAATTGCAAACCCGTCTAACTAAATATTTACTTGTACTACTGCTGAGTAATACTACTGAGAAAATTGTACTACTGCTGAGTAATACTACTGAGAAAATTGTACTACTGCTGAGTAACACTACTGAGAAAATTGAACTACTGCTGAGAAATACTACTGAGAAATTTGTACTACTGCTGAGTAACACTACTGAGAAAATTGAACTACTGCTGAGAAATACTACTGAGAAATTTGTACTACTGCTGAGTAACACTACTGAGAAAATTGAACTACTGCTGAGAAATACTACTGAGAAATTTGTACTACTGCTGAGTAATACTACTGAGAAAATTGTACTACTGCTGAGAAATACTACTGAGAAATTTGTACTACTGCTGAGTAATACTACTGAGTGATACTACTGAGAAAATTTCAAAATTTAGAATGTCTGGCTATATATTTATTAAAACCACTACTGCATGACTCAAGGTCCAGGTCAAGTCAAGGTCCTTCAAGGTCATTTGAAGGTCAAGTCAAGGTCATTCAAGGTCATTCAAGGTCATTTGAAGGTCAAGTCAAGGTCATTCAAGGTCGTTTGAAGGTCAAATCAAGAATGTCTGACTAAATATTTGCTTGTATTACTAACAAAATTGCAAACCTGTCTAACTAAATATTTACTTGTACTACTGCTGAGTAATACTACTGAGAAATTTGTACTACTCCTGAGTAATACTACTGAGAAAATTGAGCTACTGCTGAGAAATACTACTGAGAAATTTGTACTACTGCTAAGTAATACTACTGAGAAAATTGTACTACTGCTGAGAAATACTACTGAGAAATTTGTACTACTGCTGAGTAATACTACTGAGTGATACTACTGAGAAAATTTCAAAATTTAGAATGTCTGGCTATATATTTATTAAAACCACTACTGCATGACTCAAGGTCAAGGTCAAGTCAAGGTCGTTCAAGGTCATTTGAAGGTCAAGTCAAGGTCATTCAAGGTCATTCAAGGTCATTTGAAGGTCAAGTCAAGGTCATTCAAGGTCGTTTGAAGGTCAAATCAAGAATGTCTGACTAAATATTTGCTTGTATTACTAACAAAATTGCAAACCTGTCTAACTAAATATTTACTTGTACTACTGCTGAGTAATACTACTGAGAAATTTGTACTACTCCTGAGTAATACTACTGAGAAAATTGAGCTACTGCTGAGAAATACTACTGAGAAATTTGTACTACTGCTGAGTAACACTACTGAGAAAAATGAACCAATGCTGAGAAATACTACTGAGAAGTTTGTACTACTGCTGAGTAATACTACTGAGAAAATTGTACTACTGCTGAGAAATACTACTGAGAAATTTGTACTACTGCTGAGTAATACTACTGAGTGATACTACTGAGAAAATTTCAAAATTTAGAATGTCTGGCTATATATTTATTAAAACCACTACTGCATGACTCAAGGTCAAGTCAAGGTCGTTCAAGGTCATTCAAGGTCATTTGAAGGTCAAGTCAAGGTCATTCAAGGTCGTTTGAAGGTCAAGTCAAGGTCATTCAAGGTCGTTTGAAGGTCAAATCAAGAATGTCTGACTAAATATTTGCTTGTATTACTAACAAAATTGCAAACCCGTCCAACTAAATATTAACTTGTACTACTGACAATATTGTACTACTACTTGTACTACTGCTGACTAATACTACTGAGTGATACTACTGAGGAAATTTCAAACATTTAGAATGTCTGGCTAAATATTTATTTAAACCACTGAAAAAATTTAGAAGTGTTTTAAAAGTATGAGTCAAGGTCAAGTCAAGGTCATTTGAAGTTCAAGTCAAGATCATTCCTTGCATTAAAACAAATTGATATAATTGTAAATAATTATAAATTATATATTATTTTTCATTAATATTTAGAAATTTCGGTTAAAATATGAATTTTTGATTTTTTAACTTCCATTAATTCTTTAAATTTAACCCAAATGTATAGGTACTCAAATGTTTGAAGCAAATTTTTTTGCTGATCGTAAAGAGGACGCAAAATGTTCATGTAATGAAAATCTGAATTTACAACTTATTTTTTTTTATCATTTCTTCAAAACATCATTTCACATTTAATCTGAAATAATTATTATATAACATAGCCCTGGAGCAATATTCATTCAGCATCAACGTCAAGTATATATATATAGAAACGATAAAAAGGATAATAAATTAGCCACTAAATTTTTTCTTATAATTACCAATAAAAATAATTAATAAACTCCCCTCGAATTCTAAAAAAACTCAAGAAAAACAAACTAATTTTTATATTAAATTAATTAAGTATTCATTTTACTAATTCTAAACTGTATATACTAATTAACTAATTATAACTACAAATTTTTTTTCTTCTAATTGCCAATGAAAATAATGAATAAAATCCCCTCGAATACGAAAAGAATCAAGAAGAAGAAGAATTTTTATTTTATTGCAATCTAGGATTTAATGAGATGATAATAAATTAAGGATTGTAAGAGTAATTGTTATCTTAATGAAGGCCGTGCAAAGAGAATTAATAATTTGAATCATTAGCCGTAATCAAGAATGTCTCAGTATAAGATTGATTAGTGGTCCAGAACACAGTGAACTATATCGATTTCCTTTATCTCAAAAGTATATATATATATATAGTTTGCCAAAGTAGAAGATATCGTTTCGTAATTTAAGGCAAGTTTTAAAGTAATTGCGCTGCCAGAAAATTAATTGGACATTTTGGAATGCAAACCAAATCTACAATGTATTTAACTTCATTTCACAAAAATCACTTATCTTATTTAATTACACGAAAATAATAGAAATTCATGTTTAATTAACATATATTGCAAAATTTATGCAAATAATAGAATTTTCTACATAATCCAATTTATGATTTTCAATACGTTCAACAATAATTAAATTGTATTGCATACTGTACACAAAGTGTATATATATATTTAATCCAAATAATAAATAATTTTTCAAATACGAATAATATTCATTAAAAAATTACTAAATTTTTTTGTAAAAATTTAACTAATTTTTCTTCGCAAAAAATTCTCTTCGAATATATTTTGAGAAAAATCAAAAATGACATTTTACTATTTTTAAATCGAGCAAACAGGAAACAAAGAAGTATAAATTTTGGTAAAACACGTTGTGCATATAAAAAAAAATAAGAATACGAATGTACTATATAATACATATATATATCGAGGGGGTTATGTACCCGACGACGAAGAAACACGAGAAACCACTCAAGCAGCCCGTTGGGGTATGTCTGAGACATAGGTCACCATATCTCACACACGTGGAAAATACGGACCAAGTAAGGTAAAGAACACCTTTGCTTTGCGCTTTTTTGATAGCTCGACAAGAAATTCGGTTCATTTTGTCATTTTTATCTCCCTTTCTTTCTCTCTCGCTTTTGTTTCGTTTCATTTTTAACTAAAAGATTTAAACACCATATATAGGAGAATTTATTTATATATATATATATCATAGAAATATAAATTTTAAAACCTTGAAAAATAAACTATTTTTTAAAATCTTACAAAACAAATTCCCATTTATAATTCAAAAATAATTTATTATCACCACACATAAAAATATTGATTTATTAACGATCAATTTAAACTGTCATAAATAAAAACAGAAAAACAAAACACAACTTTTATGTCAACGTAAATTACGTTATGATTAAAAACCGATAATTCCATACTATCAATATTTCATCCCTTGGAAAATTTTCATCTCCATTGTGTCGGCAATGATTAATGGAAACGAGAAATCAAAACTAAAAACTTTAAACTGTGAATTTTCTCACAAAAAAAATTTTTCCTACGCATCGTGACCGGAAATCACGAATAGAAAACTATATGAGACTGTCGCAGTGCATCTTTCTCTGATTTCCCAAAGGATGCTTTTATCCATCTTGCTCCCTAGTTTTTCAAACGAGAAATAAGGTAAAAGAAGTCGTCGAATGCTACTTGTTCCTATGTATATATATATGTACACAATGATTTATTTTATCGCCTAGTACTCAAAGCTTCAAATGTTATAAGGGAGGGGGGGCATCTTTTTCGTTTTCATTTCTAAACTTTCGGATCAACAGGTTTATAATATACAAAATGTATATTGGAAAATTTTCAAAGCCATATACGCAAAAGTCCACTGGACTTATGTGAAGGAATATAACTTTCGAAATATGTTTGAGAAAAGAAACCCTCAAAGTATACCTTACTTTCTACCCTTTGTTGTCAAAGCTTTTCGAAATCCCATGACCCTCTGGCTACTTTCAGAAAAACAATAATCCACTCCAAAGTCACAGACGCACGGAATAGATATTCTTTTTTTTTCCATTTGCACCTCTTTTATTTTTCATATATATATACTTTCTCTATTTTCAAAAATTCAAAATTTTCTATTTGCTGAACTGAACTGATTTTATAAGTTTACAACAAAATTTTTCATCCAAACAAAAAAAAAATTAAAAAAGTTACACTGAGAAAAAAAATTGGTTGGTATTACCATTTTTGATATGAACATTTTTAGTTAGTAAACTATACTGCTACTTATTTATTAGTTGTGGTTACTATTTTTATTGGTTGGAATAACTAATTAGTTTGTTGGAATAACTAGTTACCTTACTAACGAAATGATTAGGCTTACTAACTAAATGGTAACAGTAACTAATATAAATTAGCAAAAATACTCTTACTAACGAAATGGTAATTGCAACCAATTGTTTCTCTCAGTGATAGATGTTAAAAATTTAAATATACTCGCTAACTTTTTATTTAAGAGAATTTTAATTAAGCAGAACTTTGATTTAGCAGAATTTACATTTATTTCATATTTTATGATACAAATTTTTTAATGAAAGAAATTACAAATTCACGGAATTTAAATTTGTACATTTTTTTAATTGATAGAATTATAAGACGCCGAATTTTAATTTGTCCGAAATTTCAAATGGCCAAACAAACAATCAACAGAAATATTTCAGCGCAATTTTTAAAATTGACCAATCACCGCATTTTCTGTATAATTTCTAATTGGTCAATTTTAAAAATTGCGCCAAAATCGATTGTTTAACATTTACAATTTCGGAAAAATAAAAATTCAACTTTTTCAAAATTTTGTGCAATAAAATTCGATATAAAGAATTATATTAAGTAAAAAATTCGTATAAAAAGAAATTCTAAAAAACGAAGATAAATATAAAAATTTTCTTTCATCACTAAACATAATAAAAGAAAAATATCGACAGAAATTTGAAATCCCGTTTCAATAAGATTTAATAAAAAAAAGAAAAAAAAATCCAGAGTATAACATTCTGTGAGAGTATAAGCAACGTCAAGGTTGCATGAGTCGGATCGGAGATTTTAGATGCCTCAAGGAAGTTGAAAATCCCAGGAAACTCCTAATCTCGGAGAGTTGCCTCGAGGAACGTCAACCTTGCAAGTAATACAGCATACCAAATGCTTCTTCGTGCCAAATGCACCGCAGACCAAGGAAGTAACAGAGATGGAATGAAGAATGTATATAAGGAGAGGGATGAAACTAGGAAATTTCACCAAGTGGCGCAATAACGTTTCTTATACCACTAGGGTTTTCCTTAGAGAGATGCTGCAAGGATGAATTTTCACCGAGAAGAAGAAGAAGAAGAAGAAGAAAGGGGATGTGACTCGCAAATACTCCTATCTCTTTTTGGTATGCAATTAGAAGGTTGCTGCTTTTCCTACACATATACACATCTATATACACAGTTCTGCTTCAAATAGCACCATGCAAAGCGGATTTTGCTTTGTCGCTTTTCACATCTCCTTCCTTCTCTACTATCCAAACCTGTTTCACTACAGCCTCCATATCTAGCTTTTCCATATATATATAATCCTCGTCGCAGCCTCTCGACACACATACGTTCCGGATAATGACGAAGCGGAATAATATTGGATGCATATATATACAGCAGAAGAGTGTCTCTATGAAAAATGTGGCAAAAAAAAAAACGAAAGAAGGGATGGCAAAACGTGATAACGTGTCGTCGACTACCGAGAGCAATACAAGAACCAAGTAAATATTGCGGTAAATATTTCTTATACTAATCTGAAAAACGCTTCGGGCAAATCAGAAAAGAAAATATAAAATATATTTCACTTCTCCCAAACAAATATCCGCATATAATTTTTAACCTCCACTGGAAATCAGTTCTTATCTAAAATAGGCTAAATAAAAATAAATCTACTTTTTCTACAAAAAAAAAAAAAAATGATTTTCGAAAAGCGTTTACAAAACAATTTTCTTTACATTCTTCATATTTTTCTCTTTTTCCCGTGTGGAGTACATGAAATAAAAAGAAGGAACATAAAAGCAAAGTTTGTCAAAAATGTATATATATGTTTCCGCCTCTCTGTATTTTCGTTGACACTTGAAAATCTTGTGACGCACGGGAAAGTGCAAATAACTATATATATATATATATATACGCTCAAGTAAAACAAACTTGCATTATAGTTCCACTTTCCGTTTGCAAATGACTATATCGTGTGATACCTGCAACCATGTTTGACGATCTACAAACATGCGAGTTGTAAATCATTCATGATTCACAAAACTTATATAAAACATTATATATATTAACCAGGTGCAGAGAAAAACTCAAATTAAACCACAATTTATAATACAATAAATAAATTTGACAATAAATTAATTTTTCAGAATTTTCACTCGATAAAATTTCATTACCTAGAATAATTTAGCCAAATTAATTATGTTTGGTAAATTTTTAATTTCCCCGCATTATTATTTTATTCCATTTATAACCGTATTTCTACATTACAGAATTGTTACTTAAATTTTTATTTTTGTCTTTGAATTTGTCAGAATTATTATATTTTATTAGTCAGAACAGTCATGGAGAAGAATTTTTATTTTACAGAAATATTAGAATTCTTTTCAAGCCGAATTTACATTTTTTCGAATTTACATTTTACAAGTTTCTTAAAACGCCGGAATTTTTATTTTACAGAACTTTCATTTGTCAGAAATTTCTTTCATCTGTCAGAAAAGTTGCTAATTTTAAAAGTAACCAAAGTATCAAAAAAAATTATGATTAAATTTTTAAATTTGCACCCTTTAGAACAAATAAAAAAGTAGAATAAAAATTCGTTTAAATGAAATTTCTGACAAATAATAATTGAAAGAGATAAAAATTCAGCTAAAAGTAAATTCTCAAAGTAAATTCTAATAAGTAAATTCCAGCTAATGAAATTCAATCAAATGAAAACTCCTGCAAATTAATTTTATAACTTATTCGCACGCATCTCGAAAATTCACAAACCCTAATAAAAAAAAAAAAAACTAAAATATTTTGTTTGTTCACCAATTTAAATGCTATCAGAAAATAAATTTTTATCGCATTCAAAATGAAATTATCTTTTTTTTCTATTCTAGCGAAGAAAAATCTATAAAAAAAACCATATATATGTCACAAAAATATGAGAAAAATTCTATATATGTGTGTTTCTGAAAATTTTTGACAATGGCATATGATGCGCACTGAAGTGAAGAAGCGCTCTCATCAAAATGGATAGAGCAGGTTTCTCTATTCATTGAAGCAAAGCCATTCAATTCAAGCGAACAGAGTGCGAAACAAAAGCTCTAATCTTGAATGGTCACAATGCCTTCTGTAAGCATGTCCTTATACTGATAAAGCACTATTTGATTTCAATTCCACCACAATATTTCTACTTTTATTTTTTTTGCAAAGACCAATTCAAACTTTTAGATTGAAATTTAAAAAATTTCTTCTCTAAATGAAAAATGTAAACGAGCAAACAATAATTTCAGTTTCCTATATTTATTTAATTACTTTATCCACTTTTTTTCCTTCTTTTCTACACTCAAATTTAAATAATTTTCGAAAATTTATACCGAAGTGATAAAAAAATTTCAATTAAAAAAATCGTATCAACAAAAATTTTTATTAATAATAAAGAGTTTTTAAAATAATTTAAAACAATTTTAAAAAGAAAATAATTTCCAATGTATGAAAAAAATTTTTCTTTATTTAATTTATAAAAAATAAGGTTTCTAGTAGATTGATAGAAGAACGTGCCTTATCTTTCTATAAAGAAGAAGATTTATTGATAACTCCAATTAATAGACTTTCCTCTATACAAACTCTATGACGTCAATATAAAGCGCGCGGGATTGAATTTTAAAGATTTAGCTAACATAAGAAAGAAATATTGAAGAAAAAAAAAAAAAAAAAGATTACAAAATATCTCAAAAGAAATTTTATTAAAATTCTCCAACAATCCTACTTT